GGGGGGGGGGGGGGGGGGGGGGGGGGGGGGGGGGGGGGGGGGGGGGGGGGGGGGGGGGGGGGGGGGGGGGGTGCCCCGATTATTGCAGCGGTACCCCGATCAGTCAAGTTGTCCCCAAGCCTTTCAAGTCAGATTACTTCCGACCACGCGTCCCCTACTCCCCTCACATCCAAACACCTCCAACAACAATCAGCCGCGTTATAGTCGACTCGGGGCAAACACACCTTCCCGACCAATTGCGCCGCGCTGTTCACGTACGCCGTGGGCGAGCCGCTGTTGGCGTACTTGGCAGTCATAGCATCCAATTTTTTTAACTGGTCTTCGTTCATCTTCTTCGACAGCTGCGGGAACACGTCAAGGCGGGATGGGTTTGGGTCGACAATGTAGTGGTCAACCAACGGTGACACTGCTGTGCAACATGCGTGATACGATTAGGACAAAACCTGTGGACATTAAGAAACACGACCCTTGGAAAAGACAGGCATCACCTAGTTTCATTGCACGCGCGCACGGGCGGCGGTAGCGGACATAGGTCCTCCCTAGAGCTGAAAGGTTGTAACCACGGCCTCCTTCCTCGAACCAAGACCACCAAAACACAGAACAGCGAGAATAAGTCCATCACCTAATGCGAGAGACCTTCTTGCAAGACATGTAATACCCCAGACGGCAACATACCACCCCTGCTCTCTGAAGGTATGCAAAACAGAAGAGTACACCCCCACCCTGCGCTCTGTCCACCCACACCTGCTTCACGAGCGCCGGTTTAAAGAATGTAGTTGCTGCCGCTCCCTTTGCTGGTGCCGGCGCCTTGCGGCCAGCCGGAGCAGGGCTCGTAGCAGCTTTGCTCTCCCCGCCGCCGCCGAACATCCCAAACATCCCCCCCCCGCCGCCGGACGCAGCCGGAGCGGGTTTCTTGGCCGCCGCGGGCGCCGCCTTCTTTGCGACAACCCTCGGCGCGGGAGCGGCCTTCTTCGGAGCGGCCTTGGGTGCGGGCTTCGCGGCAGCGGGCTTGGAGGCCGATCGTAACGGCGCGCTCAACATCGGGGCTTTCTTCACCGCCGCCGCCGGAGGCGTTGCTGGTGCCGCTTCCTTTTTCTTCTCGGCGCCGCCGCCGTTGCCTCCGAAGAGGCCGCCGAAGGGCGATGCCGGAGCCTTAGCCTTGGGTGCAGCGGGCGCGGGTGCCTCCTTGGCCGGAGCAGCGGCGGCCGGCTTCGGTGCCGCCGGCTTCGCACCGTTCCCACCGTTGCCGCCGAAGAGGCCGCCGAAGGGAGAAGACGCAGCCTTGGCCTTGGCCTTGGCCTTGGAGGCCGCGGAGGGCGGGGATGCCGGGGGGGCTTTCGTCGCCGGAGCAGCGGCCGCCGGCTTCGGTGCCGCCGGCTTCGCGCCGTTCCCACCGTTGCCGCCGAAGAGACCGCCGAAGGGAGAAGACGGAGCCTTGGCCTTGGCCTTGGCCTTGGAGGCCGTGGAGGGCGGGGATGCAGGGGGCGCTTTCTTCGCCGGAGCAGCTACCGTGGGCTTCGGTGCCGCAGCCTTCGCGCCGTTGCCTCCATTGCCGCCGAACAGGCCACCAAATGGAGAGGACGGCGCCGCCTTCTTAGCAGCAGCGGCGGGGGGGGCAGCGGCCGCGGCTGTGTCCTTCTTCGCCGAAGGAGTTGCGGCAGCAGCCACAGGAGCAGAGGTAGCCTTCACCCCGGACTTGGTGCGCAACGGCGCGCTGAGCGGAGGCATTTTCTTGGAGGGAGCGGCAGCCGCCGGAGGTGCCACCGGGGCGGGGGGAGCGGCGGCCGCCGCCTTGTTCTGTGGAGCGGGAGCCGCCACAGACTTCGCCGTGAACTTGGCAACAGGCTTCGTTAGTGCAGGCTTCTTAGCTGCAGGCTTCGGTGCGGGCTTGGGGGGCGTCTTGACAGCGGCCGGCGGCGGCGGCGGCAGCGACGGCTTCACCGGCGACGAGGGGGAAGCAGATGCAGCAGGCGGCTTCGGTGCTGCTGGCTTCGATGCGGCGGCCGGCTTAGATGGGGCGGGCGGCTTAGGTGCGGCGGGTGCCTTCGGCGCTGCCGGCTTTGGTGCCGGCGGGGTAGGCAGCACGGCCTCCACCTTGCTGACCGCGTCGCCGATAACCTTGTTTGGTATGGCCGTCAGCTCCTTCACCTGAAGGGTGGGCGCATGGGTGCATGAACGGGTACATGGATTGATTGGTGTACGCACATGAGTGGTGTACACCGGGTGCTTGGTGTCGATGTGATCACATCTGTGTTGTACGCCATGCACGCTCTAACCCATGCACAACAGAATCACGCCGCGTATCCCGCGCGCATCAAAACGCACGGTCACTAGGGCTGCTGTTAATTCGTTGGTTGCCGATAGGGCTGTGGGTCGGTGCAGACATTTAGCCGCTCAGGCCAAGCATTGAGAAACAACTGATGCAACACCCCCGAAAGTTTGTCAGCAGCACGAGGGCCCTTCGGTGTCAAGGCCTCGCGGCTTTGGCTGTCATTCCTTGGCCTCCGCCTCCTTTGTGGTGTGCACTCCGTGGACCCCCCCCCCCCCCCCCC